TAATCACTACCACCTGGCCCCAATTATCTTCTGTATCTGCATAGTTGCTGTTGACGCTTATCTGCCCGTCTTTGCCTGGCGTCCGGGACCAACTCCTTTAGCTCCTCCCCACTGCTCCAGGGCCTGACGTCAGGGACAAACTCTCTTTAGCTTTCACCGCTGCTCCATGCCTCAGGCGCCTCCTGGTGGCCAACCAGCCCCTCTGGTCCCTGCTCGGAGCCTGAACCCTGTCCAGGGTCCTCCACATCTTCCAGAGCCGAGTCATAGGGTCCCTCGCTATCGGAGCCTGTTTGCAGCTCTAACGGCTCCTGCTGGGCCACAACGCTTATCCTAAAGTGTCTTTGGGCACCATGAATGATTTGTTTCTACTTCTATTGCCTGCGTATGCACACGCTTGCCACTATTTGCTGTATGAGTTTGGTCCACTGAGCTGTGCACACACATGATCCTACACTATTATTTATTTTCACATCAAGTCCCATGACATGGAAAAAATGATTGGCTTAGGTCCTCAGATATTCTACTGCAACAGTGCTCAGCCTTCTGGGCACCAGGGATTAGTTCTCTGGGGAGAGGTTTTTCCGCAGACCGGAGGGGGAGTGGTTTTGTGTGCTGCCTGTATCCTGCAGATGGGGCTTCGCTTGTTTGTGTGAGCCAGTTGTTGGCATGCTGTGGACTGGTGCCGATCCACAGACCAGGGGTTGGGGACCCCTGGTCTAGAGAACAGATGGTCACATGTAGGGTCTTTAGAAAGGCTAGACAAAATGAGCCCTAACCACAAAGCAGAAATGTCTGGGTGGGAGGCTGGATTTATTTAGCCATTTTACTCCTGAGGTGATCAACTCTAGTCTGCCATAGAAACCCAACTGACATAAAGCTTAGACTGACAGGTTATTAGTTCCAGTTGAAAATATACTTTCTAATTAAGAAAATTCTTCAGTTTTTATTTCTTAATTAAATCAATGGTAATTTATCTGTCATACTTAAACGTGGACTTTCTTGGTACTTCTCACTATGAACACAAAGGCAATTAAAAGAAAAAGGGCTGCTTTTGGTAAGCAGAGTTAAGGCCTTTCTAAAACTGCATTTTATTTCTTGGAGCGACTTCCTTTCTTAACCATTGCATATCTTCTTCTTCAAGCTCCTTGCCCAAGAGTCAGTCTCCAGGCTTTACTACAATCAGTTTTGTCTAAGATGTTTCTACAAGCCTGGGTAATGCCCATTAGTAGCAAAGAGCTGCTGACAATCATAACTCTCTACTGCCACCTCATGGTCATCTGGATTTTTGCCATCCAGATCTGGTAATCAAGAGTGTAAAAAGTCAGCATTTGTTAGAAGCCACCACAACATTGCTGATTCTTTTGACTGAATTAATATTATTATATTATGCTGGGGACAGAACAATGAACTGTATATGAAAAGGTCTTGTCTTTACTCTGTACCCAGATTACAATCAATCTTGGTCTGAACCTGTGTTAGTTTAGATGGGTGTTTTTGCCTACACTGCGGGATATTTGCATCTGTCCAGAACACATATCGCTTAGTTATAGCATTCTTCTTTTCCTAAATTCTTCTTATACTCAGGGGTTTTTTTCTTAATAAAACTTTACTGACTCACTCCTTTATATCTTAAAAACTCTGTTCTACTCCAATCCTTACCTCTTTAAAACCTCCTTATTGTAGTTTGGCTAATGCTGAATCTCTGAGCAAGTAATGAATTCCATGTAGTTCCCAATATGGTATATTTTGAAGATGTGGAGCACTCTGGTTGATGCGAAGTAATCTGGATATGCCCAGTATGGAAGGAAGACCATTTGGGGAATTTTCTTTGTACTCTGTTGAATTCTTTATACTGAAGATAGGATATTAAAGAATGAACACATTTTAAAAGAGACAGATTAGCACACCATTCACTTATGAAATGATATGTTATTCCTAAAGGTGATGGCACAGAAATATTTCTTATACATTGTTCTCCTTATTTAGATGTTGTTACATCAATGATGAAATGAATGAACTGGTGATATGAATGACCAAAAGTCTGACATAAAAAGTAGTCCAAAGGCTG